TTTTTTTTTTTTTTTTTTTTTTTTTTTTTTTTTTTTTTTTTTTTTTTTTTTTTTTGTTTTTTTTTTGGACGTTACAAACTCTCCCCTCCTTAAAAACTTTCGTCCCCGAAAGTTGGTATCCCTTGGAAGAGTTCGGGATAGGTTCTCCTTACGTCTTCTTCTCGTTCCCAGGTTGCCTCCTCGTGTCGATGGTTACCCCATGCGACTTTTACCAAGGGAATAACTTTGTTGCGCAGACGCCTAGTGTCTCGAGCCAGAATTTTGCTGGGTCTTACCTCGTAGGACAAATCTTCCCGAAGAGGGAGGGTTTCGTGTTCAATCACGTGAGTAGGGTCTGAGGTGTACTTTCGCAGCATAGATACGTGGAACACGTTGTGAACGGCGGCAAGGTTTGGTGGTAGAGCAATCTTATACGCCACGGCCCCAACTCTCTCTAGAATCTCGAAAGGGCCTACAAACCTTGGGCTTAACTTCCCTTTCTTTCCAAACCTCATCACCCCTCTCATAGGGGCTACCTTCACGAACACATGGCCACCCACCTCGAACTCGAGGTCCCTTCTACGCAAATCTGCATAGCTCTTCTGCCGGCTTTGTGCAGTGAGGATTCTTTGCTTAATTTTCTGCACTGCCGCGTTGGTGACCTGAACTAACTCCGGTCCCAGTAGCTGCTGCGTGCCTACTTCTTCCCAAAATACTGGTGTTCGACACCTACGCCCATACATCGCCTCAAAAGGGGCCATCTGGATGGTCGCTTGATAGCTATTATTATAAGCAAACTCTATCAGAGGTAGATGTTCATCCCAGCACCCAGCGAAATCCAAGACACAAGCTCGCAACATATCTTCCAAAATTTGATTCAATCTTTCAGTCTGTCCGTCCGTCTGAGGATGGAATGCTGTACTAAACCTTAACTGAGTCCCCAATGCTTTTTGGAGGCTTTTCCAGAACTGAGAGGTGAATCTAGTGTCCCGATCAGACACTATAGACACCGGTACACCATGCAAGCGTACTATTTCTCTGATATACAGCTGAGCCCACCGATCCACACGATAAGTGGTTTTGCCTGGGATGAAGTGAGCCATTTTGGTAANTAAAAATTATACTCAGTAAGCCACCTACTTGTAGGCTCTTACCGCACCCTAAACTTAGCAGACGATCACGGGCTTTCCTTTGGCTCTAGAACAACTGAAATCGGGCCTTACCTCATTAGGGCTTTCTCTCTTGGAACTTATCCCTTTGGTCCTCTTTGGTTCCTAGACCTTTTATTTAAACCCATAGAGTTCCTTTTAAGCTAACCTGTGTTGGACTGGCGCCTTACGAGTGGCTACCTCGGCATGGGTATGAGATTATCTGGGGTCTTGCCTAGGAAGTGAGCTGCAACCCCCTAGACCCATGATAATCCCCCTGTATTTGGGAGGGCTACCTCCCCTATTCCATCCAGCTAAACGGTCAATTACGACGTGGGTATCCCGTTTCCCATACTAAACGGCTATCGAGCAGTCGAGTCCTGATCAGGAACCCGCTGGTCCCCCACGAAGCTATATCACCATCCACACACAAGTAGCTTAAGGGTACTCTAAGGATGTTTCATGTGCCGTGATGGTCTGATAAACTAATAGGGAAAGGTTAAGTCGATCCCTTGATGGTTTGTCGCTCTAACCATTGTCTTCTAGTCTTATTCATAAAGGTGGCCCTAAAAATAACCGAGTACGTACATAACTATTATCCAAAAACCTCAAACATATTTCATGCAAAGTAATCATACAAGCTCGACGGGGTGATAACATCCATCAATTCCCGGAGCACAGAGTTCGCAAATTTTCCATTCTCCATTCAGCAAAAAGATATACATATGCATAAAATAAAGTGGGAATTAAGAGCATATAAGCAGTATCCAAGTAACTCTCATAACAAATCACAGCATACATCTTACGTTCAATAAACTATTTCCTACGAACATTTACGGGAAAGCTACAACCTAAAATATTCAGACTAGCATGCATGCATCCCAAGCGGTTCCTACAAGTATTACTTCCTAAATTCCGTGTGGCGACTTACTTGGATGCTACGTGCCCTTACGCAGCGTTTCCACACACTTGGCGTAACGAGAGGGGGTGATTTTTCCTCAATAAGGTCCTATTTCATACAAACAAATGGAGTTAGGATATGAATCAGGGGAAACTAGGGAAAACAGAAGCCGATCGGGCCAAAAACAGCTTACACGCGCCTCCACGCGCCAGTCACGCGCTGGGGAGCAGCCACTCGCGGGTTCCACGCGCGAGTGTCACGCGCCCAGAAATTCCTGCAGTCGCGGGTCGCGGGTTCGGGTCGGAAGCGGTGATTCGGGTGGACCGCGGGTCGTCAACTGGATTCGGTTCGCCGTGCGGGTATCGGGTCAGCCAAGGAGCGCGGGTCGGGTCGCGGAGCCAGGGACGCGTGTCGCAGGAGCGCTGGAGCCGCGTTTTCCCAGGCGGCGCTCGACGCGTGTCCGGGGGCGATTGGCGCACGCGGCCCTCTGGTTGGTTGACGCGTGGCACGCCGGCGGCTTCTCTCTCCTCCTACCAGAAAATCAAGGCTTCCGATTAGTTTTTCCGAGGTTTCTTTCCATTTTCTATCTTTCGATTCTTAACCCAAACAGAGGTGGTTTCTTCAACAAAGTTATAGATCATCTATCAACCTACGTGCCAATATTATTTTCTTGATTTTTGCTTAGTCACACGATGAGTTTCGAGCGTCGAAAAGAGGTTCGGTAACAACCTTACCGTTCTTGGATAGTCTCTCAGATCTCGTCGTTCCGTCCGTTTCCCTCACCAAGATCGGTAGCGAATCCTCCCTGGACAAAGGTAGTAGACTTAACCATTCTACTCCTAAACAAAGATCTAAGATCTGGAAGGTATAGTTCGAAATCTTACTTTGCGGGTTTTCTTTCTGATCTTGAGGAAGGAGGAGGAAATCTCCACACGAGTTCTTACTTCACTCCAAGAAGGGCTCCAGAGTACAGGTCTTGGTAGGAAATGGATTCCGTCGGCGACTCTCCGACGAAAACTCCGGCAAACCAGTTTTCTCTCTCAAACTTTCTCTCAGTTCTTCTCTCTCACTCTTCTTCTTTTGCAGGTAATCTGAGGAGGACGCTCAAGACCCCTATAATGGGCTGAGGGGTAAAATGTCCTTTTTGCCCCTCAGCCTTTTTTTTTTTGGACGTTACAAACTCTCCCCTCCTTAAAAACTTTCGTCCCCGAAAGTTGGTATCCCTTGGAAGAGTTCGGGATAGGTTCTCCTTACGTCTTCTTCTCGTTCCCAGGTTGCCTCCTCGTGTCGATGGTTACCCCATGCGACTTTTACCAAGGGAATAACTTTGTTGCGCAGACGCCTAGTGTCTCGAGCCAGAATTTTGCTGGGTCTTACCTCGTAGGACAAATCTTCCCGAAGAGGGAGGGTTTCGTGTTCAATCACGTGAGTAGGGTCTGAGGTGTACTTTCGCAGCATAGATACGTGGAACACGTTGTGAACGGCGGCAAGGTTTGGTGGTAGAGCAATCTTATACGCCACGGCCCCAACTCTCTCTAGAATCTCGAAAGGGCCTACAAACCTTGGGCTTAACTTCCCTTTCTTTCCAAACCTCATCACCCCTCTCATAGGGGCTACCTTCACGAACACATGGTCACCCACCTCGAACTCGAGGTCCCTTCTACGCAAATCTGCATAGCTCTTCTGCCGGCTTTGTGCAGTGAGGATTCTTTGCTTAATTTTCTGCACTGCCGCGTTGGTGACCTGAACTAACTCCGGTCCCAGTAGCTGCTGCGTGCCTACTTCTTCCCAAAATACTGGTGTTCGACACCTACGCCCATACATCGCCTCAAAAGGGGCCATCTGGATGGTCGCTTGATAGCTATTATTATAAGCAAACTCTATCAGAGGTAGATGTTCATCCCAGCACCCAGCGAAATCCAAGACACAAGCTCGCAACATATCTTCCAAAATTTGATTCAATCTTTCAGTCTGTCCGTCCGTCTGAGGATGGAATGCTGTACTAAACCTTAACTGAGTCCCCAATGCTTTTTGGAGGCTTTTCCAGAACTGAGAGGTGAATCTAGTGTCCCGATCAGACACCATAGACACCGGTACACCATGCAAGCGTACTATTTCTCTGATATACAGCTGAGCCCACCGATCCACACGATAAGTGGTTTTGCCTGGGATGAAGTGAGCCATTTTGGTAAGTCTATCAACAACTACCCAGATTACGTTGAAGTTCTGCTTAGTCTTGGGCAAGCCTGAGATAAAATCCATGCAAACTGCTTCCCATTTCCATTGCGGAACCTTTAGGGGTTGTAGCAGTCCTGCTGGACGCAGCCTCGGGGCCTTCACCTGCTGACAGGTCAAGCATCGGCTTACAAATTCTGCTATCTCCTTTTTCATCCCTGGCCACCAATAACATCCCTTAAGATCCTGATACATCTTTGTACTTCCAGGGTGGAACGTATAAGAAGTATCGTGAGCTTCTGTCATAATATCCTTAAGAATTTTCTTGTCACGGGGAACGCATAAGCGATTTTTTTCCACAGCAGACCCCCATCTGAAGAGATTGAGTACCCCTCTGGTCTTTCAATCTCCGTCTGATTCCACAGCTTTTCAAGGTGTTCGTCAGACCTCTGAGCGTCAATAATCCGTCTTCGTAAGGTAGGTTGCATGGTCATTTGTGTTATCCGAGCAGTACCACCTTTGATTACAACATCGATTCCAGCCCTCTTCATCTCATCCTGTATTCTCTCCTGCTTAGTGATCATAGCGGAAGTATGAACTGCCTTTCTGCTCAATGCGTCCGCCACAACATTGGCCTTGCCTGGATGATACAGGATCTCGATGTCGTAATCTTTTACTAATTCCAACCATCTCCTCTGCCTCATGTTAAGTTCCTTTTGCGTAAATAGGTACTTGAGACTTTTGTGATCGGTGAATACTTGAATTTTCTCTCCATACAGATAATGTCGCCACGTCTTTAGTGCAAACACCACTGCTGCTAACTCGAGGTCATGAGTAGGATAATTCTTTTCATATTCCTTCAGTTGTCTGGAAGCATAAGCTATCACTTTACCCTTCTGCATGAGCACGCATCCAAGACCTTTTCCCGATGCGTCGCTGTACACCACAAGATTTCCTGATCCATCAGGGACTGTGAGGACTGGAGCTGTCACTAACCTCTCCTTGAGTTCCTGGAAGCTCTGCTCACAGGCTGATGTCCACAAAAAAAAAAGGCTTGCCTTTCTTAGTTAACTGAGTCAGTGCTGAAGATATCTTGGAGAAATCCTGGACGAACCTTCTGTAGTAACCAGCTAGTCCCAGAAAACTCCGTACCTCAGTGACTGTGGTCGGTCTTGGCCACTTCATCACTGCCTCAATTTTAGCTGGGTCTACTGTGATTCCTCTACTCGACACCACATGACCCAAAAACGCTACCTCAGACAGCCAAAATTCACACTTGGAAAACTTAGCGTACAGTCGCTGTGTTCTTAGTATGGTCAGAACTTTTCTCAAATGCTCTTCGTGCTCTGCCTCTGATTTGGAGTACACCAGGATATCATCAATAAACACTATAACAAAAGTGTCTAAAAATTCTTTAAACACTCTGTTCATTAATTCCATGAAGACGGCTGGTGCATTGGTAAGTCCAAAGGACATGACGAGAAATTCATAATGTCCATAGCGACTTCTAAAAGCTGTTTTGGGAATATCTTCTTCTCTTATTCTCAATTGA